TAACCCTCTGGAAATGAAATTGCCATGCTGACAAGCACACCAAAAACCTTCCAAAACGCCACAAAACACACCACAAGCCTCACCAAATGTCTCCTTGCTACCGCAATCTCGCCCACAGGAAGCCGCAACCGTGTGGCAGCAGGGAAAATGGCCGCGGATCCGGCTCATAACTTGAGGTGGTTTGCAACCCGAGGTAAATTTTTGGGGCCAGAGCTGGTCATAACCCAAAAAATTCGTTAACAGAGACGTTCGTAACCCGAGGTACCACTGTATGTTAGCACCCTGAAGACACTCCCAGAGGTCAATAATTTATTTATACCATCTATCCTTTGGATTATATTATCTATTTCTGATTACTGTTTTTATTGTATTTTAATTGGTTTTTATTCTTATTTTATTGTAAACTTCCCAGAGTCACTCGCTGAGTGAGATGGCCGTGACTAAATTTGAAATATTAAAAAATACTATATGTACTAATTGAATGAATTTCTTCCAGCAGTCACTGAGAGCTTAGATCAGGCTTTCAGATCTGCGTTGCAAAAACTTGTAGATTACTAGATGGTAGCAGAAGAGCACGATGCAAGATTTTATGGACCTTTTGCTTCCATGTAGTGGTCATACAATTTTTGCAGCCCAGGTCTAGTAGCCTTATTTGGATAAACCTGCCCAAGTACTCATCCATAGTAGTATACTTTTTCAAATTAAAAATACATATTGTTCAGGAAAAAGAACACAACTGACCCTGATATTTCTGTTTAAGGATAGGTCCAATACATAAAATCAGAAGATTGATGCTTATAGACACAGGTACAAATCCAAGGTGCTTATGAAAGCACAGCTGTCCTTTTTTCCTATATCTGCAGATTGCTTAGCGACCACCTCATAAACCTATTTCTCTTTTCCAGTCAATTTAAAATGGAAAGGATTCCTGTTTTTCGTAGAATTTCCATTCTCATTACCCTTGGAATACAGTACATTCTAACTTTTTTTTTTTTTAAATGCCTTCACTACAGCTTAGGGGTCAGGCCACTGAATCAGCATAGGGGCTTTAGTAATTCATACTACTGCTTTTTGATAACTGACTGACAAGTGACATAGTTTAATTGACACTGGTGCATATTACCTGTACTAGTTGGTAGCTATGTGGCTTTTTTCCAATACAACCTTTCACTTGTCTTGAAAGCAGTGAGGGAAACACCTACCAGTAAAGAAATGTATAATACCATAACAATTACATCTTTCTATTTAAGATTTGTTCGTTGTTTCTGGCTTATTGTAGATGCAGGATCTGTTGTGGAAGAAGCAGAGTTCAGTTGGGATGAGTATTTGGAAGATACAGGAGCAACAGCAGCACCTCACAGCTCATTTAGACATGTAAGTAAGCATCTGGTCAATGTCGTCTTCTGTATGCGTTCTTTGAGCTCTGATCCCTTGGCAGCCATAATGGGAAGAAGCTCTTCATTTCAGATCCTTGAGAATTCTAAGTGCAGTCCCTTAAGCTCTTTGCTGTAACTTTTGGGCTTTAATAATGTCCTCACAGGTCCCATTTAAAGGAGAATAACAGTAATAGAGAGCATTTATTTTTGTCCTTTGCCTTGCAAGGGGACTCTTGTGTTCCAGTTAATGCTAGAGACAGATCCAAAGAATTGCTGACTTAAATATTTCTAAAGTGAGAGTGGCTCTCCTATGCCTTGGTGCAAAGTGAGATCTTTAGCAGTTACAACACGTGAAGATAATTAGCCTGCAAAGAGCTTGCTGAATCACCATCTTAAGGCTTTCTTCCATGCCCTGTTGACAACACCTTTTTCCTTCCTTCCTTCCTTCCTTCCTTCCTTCCTTCCTTCCTTCCTTCCTTCCTTCCTTCCTTCCTTCCTGTTTTGTTTTGTTTTGTTTTGTTTTGTTTTGTTTTGTTCTTGTTTAATGTGGAAGTGAAATGATAAAACATGAAAATTAACTTGCTACTTTTTAAAATTTAATACTTCAGTTAAAAGTATGTTACTACTGCTCTTTTTGCTAACAGACAAAATAATTTGACAGGAGCAGGCTGCAACTTTCACAGTAGGTTTACAGCATGATTTAGATGCTGTGAAACTTTCCAGGATAAATTATTTTTTGTGCTAGAAAAAATTATTCTGGGTGATAGTGTTTGAACGAAATCTTGAAATGTGGGATTTTTTTTCAAATACTGAAAGCACATAACTTTCAGCAAGGAGTGCACTGAAATCAAATTCTAACTTACAACCTGTAAGGGCATCTGGCTGTCTATTAGACCATTAAAAACAACTGTGTAGACAATATTCAGGTGTATTTATTAGCTTTTTTGATAACCAAGTTACTGCTTTAGGAATTTAAATCTTGCTGGAAGGATTTAAGGCAATTTGGAACAATGTTTCTAAGTTGTTACAAATAATTCATATCTATTTCTGTACCTTTGGGGAGTCCCCTTACATTGATGAAATTTCTATTGTGTGTTTATTAATTAGTGCCTATGAGAAATATGCTTACCATGTAACAAATTTGCAAAAACTTTATTGTAATATGTTGATAAACATCAAATACAAATGAGATTATTCTATGAAGACTGGATTCAGATACCGTATTTTTCCATCAATAAGACGCCCCCATGTACAAGACGACCCCCACTTTTCCAACCCA